GTGCGCGGCCGGGCTGGAAACGCGCTTTGCGAGGGTAGGGGCTGGGGCCTGGAGTTTCCGCGCAGCTGCAGGCCGACCGACCTCGCCCCGCTGTCCGGCCTTCTCGCTCGCGCAACGCCGAGTGAGGCATTCCTTAGCCGTGATCCTCGGCGCTGCGCGGGTGGGACCTGCAACAGGCAGGCGAGTCCGGGTGCGGATGCCTCCAGTTAGCGTGACTTCGGCCTGCCGCGCCTCAGTTTCCCCGGCTGCGCATTCTGGGCAGGGATCGAGGTTTCGGAGACTCCAGCAGTGGGCGCCTATCCTCGCCAGCTTGCCCGCTCGCCCAGTTTCCTGCGAGAAGTCAGAGATTGCGCTGTAAATACCAAGGCTCCCGGTCCAGAAGCCTCCGCTGCCAGGTCCCGCTATTTTAGATATTAGGCGGGTGGAACAGAATGGATCTGGGCCCGCGCAGGAGGGACGCCGCTACCTTCTGCCTCCATTTCCTCCTCAGGGGGTCCCTCGCTTTGGGCCTCCGTAGTGCTGGGCCTGGAGCCTCGAGATGCTGCGAGTCTGCGATGCTGGGAGTCTGGGCTCTAGGAAACAGTCCGGAGCTCATGATCTCAGCGTCCTATGAAAGATCCCCCTTTATAAATTGGGGGTCCACTCCTTCCTCTGCTCCTCCCAAAATGCACCCTGTGCCTTCGTTGCAAAGGATTGGGGCTCGTTGGGGCAGACATTATTTTGGGATCCTACAGAAGAGCGAGAATGATTATTCAGTAAATGGTGTTGAGCTGAAAATTTTTCTGAAATGTTTTTGGCTCATCCATACGTTTACAAAGATTAATTGTATGTCTTTCATTCTGTGCCTATTTGGGACATAAAAGCTTCCATTCTGCCCTCTCTTATCCCACAGAATTGAGGGCCCTTGCTTTTGAAGACTAGCCTTGAGTATCATATGGGACAGGGACGGGCAGAGGATTGGCCGAGGGCTTCAGGATAGAGAATTCTTTTGGCAAATAAAAAACGAGTGAGGATGCCAGTAATTGAACTCTTAAGAGCCTTTCTCTTTTATTACAGAAAAACAGGGATCTGAAAGGAATAACGGATATGCTACTTTTTTTTTGTTTGTTTGTTTGTTTTGTTTTTTTTTGTACCGGGGATCGAACCCGGGACCTTGCACTTGTGACATATTCTACCTAATTCTTTTTAAGAATATTGTCAGCCGGGCATGGTGGTGCACGCCTGTAATCCCAGCACTTGGGAGGCTGAGGCAGAAGGATTGCTGCGAGTTTGAGACCAGCCTGGCCTACACAGTGAGTTCCAAGGCAATCTGAACTACATAGTGAGACCCTGTCTCAAAAAACAAAAGAAAACAAAACCAAAAGAGAATATTGTCACTTCGGGGTGAGGATTAGCTCAGTGCCGCTGCACCTTCCTCACAAGCACAAGGTCCTGAGTTCTATCCCCCAGTACTAGGGGAAAAAAGTATTGTAAAAGAAACACTCTTAGTGAACTAAACAGTGGCCAGAATCAGGTTTCATTATTTGTGGGGTGAAAGAGTAAATTGGTATAACCTCTATGAAGGACATTTGGACAATATCCATTAAAATGACAAGTATAGATCCTGACAGGGTACGTGCCTGTAAGCTCAGCACTTGGGAGGCTAAGGTAGGAGAATTTGAGACCAGCCTGAACTACATAGACCCTGTCTCAAACAAAACAAATGCACGTTAGAAACAAAAACAAAAGGACCCAGAATTTTCTTCAGATATATACTGCATTGTAAATAATTTTCACTGAATAACTACTTGCAGTAGTGAACAATGGCAGGAAACCCAGACATCTCATTAGAATTGGTTGAGTAAACCATTATGTTTATCCATTCAGTGGACCATGGAAGGATATGAAGATACCAGAGGTCAAGGAAGAGGGGGAGGAAGGTTGTAGATTTGCATATTCACCTGGGACTCTATAGAGCCTTCTGGACGTGTATACCAGAAAGTGAACAGTAGTTTCTTTGGGGGAGGATCTAATTGACTCATCATAGATAGAATGGCATTTAAGTTTTATAAAATACCTTTTTTTGAATTTGAATCACATGAATGTTTTAGGTGTTCAAAAATACATTTGAAAATTTCATTGTTAAACTTACCAGAAAGTTCATGGAATAACATTCTCGTGGGTTTTTTTTTTTTTTTTTTTTTTTTTTTTGAGACAGGGTCTCACTATGTAGTTGAGTCTGCCCTGGAACTCACTATGTAGCCCAGGCTGGTCTTGAATTCACAGCAATCCTCCTGCCTCAGGCTCCCAAGTGCTGGGATTACAGGCGTGCGCCACCACACCCGGCTTCCCTAGAGATAATTATAAGACTATTTGTCATTCCTATAAATGTGTTTAGATTGTTTTATGCCGTTCTATAAGCAATATTAGATAGTATCATTTTGTATGTCTTCAGACTTTTTCCTTCAGACTTTTTAATTGAAGATACTTATAAAAGTTGTACCACACCCATTCTACAATTTGTTGTTTTCTCTCTGCATGACATTGAGATTTTAAAATTTAATGACTGTACTTTAGGTTCTAATTTGCTTATTTTAACTGTTGCCTGTAGTTCTTTTGAAGGGCTGTGCCCCAACACGTGTTCTGAGGATGGACATTTTGGCAATGGTCAGTGCTTGCTTCGTAAATTCAGTCTCGAATATTATTGACTCTGGCTGTGATTCTTGATAGCAAGAAATTGGTTCTTTTGTCTCTGCATGCCCTTCAGCGCTTAACGGAGTTCCTTTAACTGTGCTTGATAAATATGCTTTGCCTGCCCAAGGAAGCAGTCTTCCTGTTTTACTTTGCTCATTCTGGTGGTTGCTGTTTAGGAGGTAGCTGCCATTCATCCCTTCCCAAGACAGTAGGTGGACTTCTGCAGTCACAGCCATGGGGACCCTTTACCCGGAGGCTTGATGTCTGTTGAGGCATTTGAAGGCCACGGAGGCCTTTTTGACTCCATGGTGATGATGAGGAAGCTGAGGTTTAGAGAGAAGAGCTGAGTGTCCGGAGTCGATAATTAGCAGTGATACTGACATCCCCAAGAAGCCTAAATCTTGTGAACGATGAGTCAGGTTCCGTGGTGGGGCTTGTGTTTCATGTTCGTAATAAAGCGATAAAGGTAAAAGTGATGGAGCTAAACCATGACCAATATAGGATTATGAGATACAGACAGCCCAGGAGGGAAACTGAAAGTGTTCAGAAGATGACAGGTGTCCCTTTTGGTCTAAGGACCAGTGACAGCAGGGGAAGGGAGGCCTAAAAGAGAATTTTGAGCCACATCACAGGGGAGCCACAAGTGGGAAGTAGTAGTGGTGCAGCACTTGAGAAGTCAGCACACTCAGGGGCATTTGTGACCATGTGACCTGGACAGAGGAGCTAAGAGGTAAGGAAACCGGTTGGGGCATTATTCTTATGATCGGACCCAGAATGGTGGCTGTGGAGGAGTAAAGGCATGGATGATAAATCGAGGAAGAGGAGCAAGAATCAAAACCAGAGGGTCTGATGAAGAAGAGACTGTTGAGACCAGGAAGTTCCTGATGTAGGAGTGGTTAGATGTATCAGTGAAAAAAAATAGACCAGTTGGTAGGGCTTCTGGCCAGGTTTGTATTGAGCTGAAGGTGCCATTGGGAATGCAGGCCCGGAGGGAGGAGTAGGTTGGAGCAAGGACTCTCAGGAAAGGGAGGAGTCGGGGAAGGGGGAATTGCTGTATGGTGGTTTCCAGGCAAGAGGGAATCCTGAGCCAGAGTTGGTCAGTTGGGGATAATCCTTGGCTCTAACCACCTCTGGGGCCTTGGTGAGAAAGATGAGCCAGTCCAGCGTGGGAAGAAGGAGTGGTTGGGTGGGCCAAGTTTCCAAATGTAGAAGGCAGTTGAGTGGGTCTGATGGGAGACAAGGGTCCAGAGCCTTGGTCCCAGAGGATGCGGAGGTGAGTGGTGGGAGGTGAGCTCCTGAGCCTCCGTAGTGAGGAGGGAGACCTCATCCTTTTGGCCAGTTTTATATTAGGATCTATTTTTCATTTTGCTTTTGAAGACATAGCCAGGAATTGGAAAAGAGGTACATTTTGGGGAGGGGAAAGTAGGATGATGCAGGTGAGGAAGGCAGATATTCAAGGCCTTGTGACTGATTGATTGTTCTATGGCTGAAAGAATGTGCAGCTTAGCCACATCTCACTGTGACTCCTTGGCTTAGAGCAAGGAGTTGGCTGTCTGGTCATGTTTGGTTCCTTTGGAGTCTGTGTGTGTGGCAAATGTCTGTTTGCCGTAGTTTTGTTTTCCTGGTTGGGTTTCTGTGGCTCTCATTTCATCAGTTTGCAGTTTTTGAGCATAGCAACTCAATTATTAGAAAGTAAGCTTGAATTTACAATGTGATATGATCTTGAATGCACTAAGGCCTAGTGCATTCAAGTTATTATGCTTGACTTTTTAACTTTTTTTTTTTGTTTTTAACTCTTGATAGAAGCAAGGTCCTGGAAACACCACTCTGGCTTCCACCTCCCAGGGAGGGGGTTCTAAAAGCTGACCACCACTCAGGCCTTACCTACCCTTTTTCTTTCTTTGTTTCCTTTTTTTTTTTTCCAGGGCTGAGGATCAAACTTGGGGCAGCATTCTGCTGCTGAGCTGTACTGCCAGTCTCTGGGTGGGTACTTTTGTCTTCATTTTTGCAATTGAGGAGCCCAAGGCTAAGGTTGGTGGTGTTAGGAGTCCTCGGTTGATGGATCTCCAAACCAGAATAGTCTGTCTCCCTAAAACTGCTTTACTGCAATGCTAAAGGAGACAAAATGAGACAAAGAACCTTGTAGATGAAGGGACACAGGTCATCAGGAAGAAGGCCTAGTTGCAGCCAAGGTGAAAGGGGACAGGGAAGTAGAGGGCTTGGTATCAGGGAAGGCCGAGGTGAGCAGCACGTGCCACAGGGCACACCCAGGCCAGTCTGCACGGTAGCGGTGCCACCTGCCTGTTCACTTACTGTCCTTTCTGTGTTGCCAGAAGATAGATCACAGTGGTGAGGACTGGTGTGGCGTTCAGGATGGCGGAGGAGCAGGAGTTCACTCAGCTTTGTAAGTTGCCTACGCAGTCCTCCCACCCACACTGCGTCAACAACACCTACCGCAGTACGAAGCACTCCCAGGCCCTGCTGCGAGGGCTGCTGGCTCTCCGGGACAGTGGGATCCTCTTTGATGTTGTCCTGGTGGTGGAGGGGAGACACATTGAGGCCCATCGAATCCTCCTGGCTGCATCCTGTGATTACTTCAGGTAGGTTGCTTAACCTGTTTTTTTTTTTTTTTCAAGGACAGTAACACAAGTTATTGCAGCTTTACTAGGCATGTGTGCTGGCACTGAAGGTACCAGGTCTCAAACTCACCTTGGAGCCTCTTCACTGCCTATTGTGGAGACTTTTGCAACAACTCTGAGACATAGAGGAGCTTTATAGTGTGCTTTTCTTTCAGCTGTCCCATGTCTCAGGCATGTTCTTTTTTCAAAAGATAATTATGGTTGGGTTGGGCATGGTGGTGCACACCTGTAATCCCATCACTTAGGAGGCTGAGGCAGGAGGATCACCATGAGTCCAAAGCCAGTCTGAACAAGACCCTATCTCAAAAAAAAAAAAAAAAAAATCAAAAAATAAAAGATAATTATGTTTAGTTTCATTTGTAATGTCACATTTTATAAAATAAATTATACTGCAATTACAATATCTTGGTATAAAACAGATTTGTATTTTATTCTGGTTTCCATTCCCATCCCATTTGCTCTTTGAAAAATTTGAAATCTGTGGAAAAGTTAAAAGAACAATGTGATGAACACCTGAATACAAACCAGTTGTTAACACTCCGTTACACTGCTGTCTCTCTTAAACACAGACCTTTTATTAAGATGTTATGACACTTAAAGCTGGGTTTGCTGGCACACGCCTGTAATTATTGCACTTAGGAAGCAGGAGGATCAAGAGTTTGAAGCCAGACCGGCCTGCATAAAGAGTTCCACCTAGGCTGGCTTTCTAGGTGAACTCCGTCTGAAAACAAAACAAACGAAAAGCACGTAACGACATTTTAATCCCGTGTGTCCCCCCACTGTCATGATGCCAGCTGTGGGGTCCATGTGAGACCTGGTCATTTCCCAAGGATCTCAGGAGAGCCGTTGATATAAGTCTTCTAGAGAGCTTGAGTTCTGATACCCGAAGGCAGAGACTGAGTGTCCCGGAGACAGAGAGGGAGGGGTGGAGAGAGGGCGAGGTGGAGTGAGACAGAGCAATAGAGACAAGAGATAGATAGGGTTAGGGCGGAGAGAAGGAAGATGAGAGGGGAGGGAGAGCAGAGGAGCGATGTCACCTTCCTGTGCTGTTCTTCTGTGGGCCTCCAGTGCCTGCCCACTCCGAGGCTGGAGTTTCCCTCTCCAGCCCACTGACTCCTCACCCTCCCTCCAGGGCTTTGTCCTATATGCAGTCTTCTGGAATTGTTATGTCCTCCCTCTGTTTTCCTATCTTCTGTGATTGTAAAGGATGGTTTTATTTAAGTTGGTGCCTGTGATTTTGACAATTTATCTAAAATTGATAATTATCTAGAAATTATATATTGGCAGGACTTCTTCAGCCCCAGAAGAGAAAAAAAGTTTTATTCCCCGCAAAAGCCCAAAGCAAAGGTTTCCCAGGGTAGTTGGCGATTTTTACAAATAGACACCAAAGCCTTTTGAATTTTCTCAGAGCAAAAAATTCCTCAAAGCACTTTCAGCCAGATGGACACTGTTCTCCAAAGGAAAGATTAGTTCCGTAATAGAGATAACCACGATCTAGTTACATAGCACATCCACGGACACAGTTAGAATGAGTGTGGTAACACTGAGCATCTGGTTCCACAGTTAAAACACTTTCTGAGCTGGGTGTACACCTGTAATCTCTGCTACTTGAGAGGCTGGGGCAAGAGGATTACAAGTTCAAGTCCAGTTTGAACAACTGAGTGAGACCCTATCTCAAAATAAAATTTTAAAGAAAGAGCTGGGGACATAGTTCAGCTTTCTCTGTGTTCAATTCCCATTACCACAAAACAAACCGAAAAGCAACTTTTTCAAATAAGTGAAAATGTATGCCCAGCAAATCACCAGTTTACCCTGCCTTCCTACTTTTTTCCTCCAGGCCATGATAACCAGTTTTTGTATTGACTCACCCAACACACACACGTACACACCATGCTGGAAACGGTACCCAGGGCCTTACCTAGGCAAGTGCAACATCACAGGCCCTTGACCATCCTATTTAAAATGGTGATTTAAACACACATACATACACCATGAAATTTACCATCTTCACCATTTTTTTTTTTTTTTTTTTTTTTTTTTTTTTTGGTTTTTTGAGGCAGGGTCTCACTATGTAGTTGACACTGACCTAGAACTCACTATGTAGCCCAGGCTGGTCTCGAACTCACAGTGATCCTCCTGCCTCAGCCTCCCGAGTGTTAGGATTATAGGCGTGCACCACCACGCCTGGCTGCATCTTCACCATTTTTAACTGTGCAGCTCACCGCTAATAAGTACATTCACCTAGTCATGAAAAATCCAGATTTCATGCTGCAGATCTAAAACTTTGCAACTCTTAACTCTAGTTCTTCTTAATCTCCTTCCCCCAGCCCCTACTTTCAGTTTCTACAAATCTGACTATTCTAGGTACCTCATAAATGGAATCATTCAGTATTTGTCCTTTTGTACCTGGCTTATTTCACTTAGCATAATTTTGTTGTTGTTGTTGTTTGTTTTTTGTTTTTCTTTTGTTTTTTTGAGACAGGGTCTCACTATGTGGTTGAGTCTGACCTGGAATTCACTGTGTAGCCCAAGCTGGTTTTGAACTCACAGCAATCCTCCTGCCTCAGCCTCCTGAGTGCCGGAATTACAGGTGTGCACCACCACGCCTGGCTTCACTTAGCATAATATTTTTAAGATTGATTGATTTAGTAGCATGTGATAGGATTTCTTTTTCTTTCTTTCTTTTTTTTTTTTTTGGAGATAGTTTCACTCTATAGTCATTTCATAATTCCACCTGATATTGAATCCATATTCAGATTTTTGTAATCTCAAAATATCTATATATTCTTCCCCCGTCCATTTGGCTTTCAGGCTGGCCTTGAACTTGTGACCCTCCTGCCTGAGTCTCTCAAGTCCTGGAGGAATTATAGGTGTGCATCACCATGCCCAGTTTAAGTTTTTGTTTTGACATGATTTTTTTTTTTTTTTTGAGAAAAGCCTGTTGTCCAGGCTTTACTGTGCCCAGATGTACCTAATGTCTGAGTTACATAAGATCAGGAAGTGTATAATAAAGAAGTAAATACCTATTTTTGGTTAAAATTAAAAAGGAGGACATGTGTTTGCTTTTCTTTTTATTTCCTAATTTTTATTTTAAAATGTTGCTCTGTCAGTACAGTTGAAAGATAAGTTTAGTGAGTATTTGTGCCATTGGCCTGGGTCAGCATTTTGTAACTCACTTCAGGGGAACTGCAGGCATTGTGACACTTTCCCTACCTCGTGCGTCTCCTAAAGACATTCTCTAACGTATTTTCTGTGTGTGTGGACTGGAGATTGAACCTAGGTTACAACTGAACTACATCCACAGCCCTTTTTATTTCTTATTTTGTTTACTTTTTCGTTTGTTTTGGTTTTTTGAGACAGGGCTGCCCTTGAACTCACTATATAGCCAGGCTGGCCTTGAACTCATGACTATCCCCTTGCCTCACCCTCCTGAGAGCTAGGATTACCAGCATGTGCCACCACATCCAGCTCTTATTACTTATTATTTTTAGACAGCCAGGTCTTGCTAAGTTGTCCAAGCTGGCCTCCAAGTTAATGATCTTCCTGCCTCCTGAGAGGCTAGGGTTAGTGGTATATGCCACCACCTCTAGCGTCTAACATATTTTAACACCATTGTAAGTCTAAGAAAATTTATAGTCATCTCATAATTTCTCCTGACACTGTCTGTGTTCAGGTTTTCCTAATTATCTCCAAATGTCTTACATCTCTCCTCCCCCTTCCATTTGGGGTACATTTAAGGTCCATGCACTGGACGTTGTCTTAAGATGTTTATATCTGCATCGGTCCAAGTACCCATGCCCTTTTCTGGGGATCAGTGCTCAGTGTCCCTGTCCCTGTTGTTGTCAGCATGGATCCTGGAGTTGCTGGACAGAGGAATCAGACAGGGTAAGTACATGCAGTGCAATTCTGGAAGGTCCAAACTGGTACAAAATTCATGGCAGAGTGCTTCAAGGGACAGGGACACATTTGGTAAAACGTGTAGGAATAAATTTACCAGACTTGATGAGGTCTGTAGGATGACTTGTGAGACCTCCAAAGATACCCTGAGAGTGGATGGACACATACAGAAGTCCCCCTTGTCTATTGCACAGGTGAAAACTTTTTCTACATTAATCTAAATGTTTAATGTGTTCCTAAAAGAGTTTATTGGGAAAAATTATACAAACTGATTCCAAAGTTCAGATTAAAAAAGTAATCAGTGGTGCCAGGTACAGTGACCTACACCTGTAATTCCAGATGTTGGGAGACTGAGTAAAAAGGTCACACGTTCAAGGCAAGCTTGAGCGGCTTAATGAGACCTTGTCTCAAAATGTTAAAAAGGTCTGGTGGGGAAACCTGTAACCCCAGCACTCTGGGAAGTTAAGGCAGGAAGACTGTAAATTCAAACCAAGCCCGGGCAACTTAGTAATTTAGCAAGACCCTGTTTCAAAATTTAAAAAAAAAAAATTTTTTTTTTTTGAAGAGCTGGTCCCTGGTACCAAAAAAAAAAAAAAGAGCTGGACATGCCAGGCATGCAGTTCAGTGATAGAGCATGTGCAAGTGCGACCCTGGGTTTGGGTCTCAGTATCATACACAGGCACATGCAAAAGCAGTGGTCTGGAAATTAAGGTGATCCTATACTGGATGTACTGTGACACTGTAGCATTTTAAACTGCATCCTGTTGAGTAAGAAACAAAGATTATAGCAAAAAAACTAGGAGATTCATAAACATTGCAAACATCAGGAACTCTAGGTGATTCTTTAAAATTGGCATCATAAATCAAGGAAGAGACAGACTAAATCAGTTGCTGTCTGAAAAAATATGAAGTTAAGCTTTTGCTTCCTACCTTATGCCAAAAACAAAAACTAAAAAAATAAAAACTAAAGGAAAACATGAGTAAATGTTTTCTAACATCTCAAAAATGGATTTTCTAGTTTTAACATAAAATTTAGAGGCAAGAAAAGAAAAAGCTGGGCATGGTGCCACCTGTGATCCTAGCACTTGGGAGGCTTAGGCAGGATTGCCTTGAGTTCAAGGCCAGCATGAACTACATAACAAGACCCTGTTTTAAGAAACCAAAAAAGAAAGGAAAAAAAAAAAAGGAAGAGGAAATGATAAACTGACTACATTAAAAGTTAAAGACAAATTCCTGCATGGCGGAAATCATAATAAAAATCAATAGGTGGAAAAAAATTCAGCTTATCTAGAAATGGGCACATTTCTTCCAGTGGGCAAGAAAGTCTAATAGAAAACAGGCAACATTCTGGAGAGTTCAGAAAAGACAGTAGTAGCCAAATACAGTGGTACCTGCCTGTAGTCCCATCACTCAGCAGGCTGAGGCAGGAGCTCTCGGCCAGCCTGGACTACATAGCATTCTTTTTCTCAAAAGAAAATGCACACATTCAAAAGCCTTTAGTATGGCTCTTACACATATGATGAGAATCTCTCTTTGGTTTTTGTCTTTTGAGACAACTATGTAGTTCAGGCTAGTCTTAATGACACTGACTGTCTAGCCCAGGATGGCCACTAACCTGTGGCAATCCTCCTGCCTCAGTCTCCTGAGTGCTGGGATTGCAGGCATGTGCCACTACACGCGGCTCTGTCTTGTGTTTGGTGGCAGAGTTGGAACTGGTTCTTTCTGGTTTATGAGGTGGGATGGGAGGCAGGCAACACCAGCCCTGCTGTGGGGACTGATAAAAGAAGGCAGTCAGGCAACACTGTCAGAGTGAGTGAATGTCCCAGGAGCTGTGTTCATGGGAATTACTCCTGACAGTCAGAAATGCAGTGTGTCATGGGGGTGAGGCTGTCCATTATCTGAAATAACAGGAAGATTAGAAGTAACCTGATGCACAGGTTAAATAAGTGGTGACGGGCCGGGGATTTAGCTCGGTGGCACTGCGCCTGCCTCGCCTCAAAAGCACAAGGTCCTGAGTTCAATCCTCAGGACCCCCCAGCCATACACACACCAAAAAGTGATGACAGGCTTTACAGAGAGTGAGGCAGCTTGTGTACTGGGGTTAGGTTGTGCTTCCAAGATGTATCGTGGAGTAAGAAGAAAGCAAAATGAAGAATATGACTATTCAAGGGGCTATGGGTATCCATGGGGGGCAGTGCATCTCACGCTGACCATGCCACAGTGGGACTCCAGCTGTCCTCCCTAAACTAGCTCCTCCTGAATTTTACTGCATCAGTAGGGGTCCCTATCTGCCCGTATACTTTACCCTGAAAAGGGCTGCAAGTCCTCCAGGGTTCTTCTGGAATCAGTCTGTCATCAGCTTCTTTTCTGCTGGTCCCCACATGACTCAGCTGCAGGTTTTCAGCTACTCCCCACTCCCCAGGGCCAGAGTCATCCCAAGGAGCTCCCTGCCTAGCTCGTTTTCCCACCCACCCCCCAACTCCAGCCCCTTCAGCTCCTCTTCCTTTTTAACCAACTAGCTGTCAGCTTATGCTATTAAATTCATTCTTGTGTCTTCTACATTGCCCTAGAGATACGCTGCCTCGTCCTGCTTCACCTGCTCGCTTCCTCTTTGGGCTGCCATGAGCGCCAAGTTCTTGGCTCACAGGACCTGTACATCTGTCTCCTTGCCTGGGAGGCCCTCCCCTGCAGCCTCACCCTTAAATCTCAGATTCCTTGGAGGGGCCCGTGCTTGCCCCTGCTAGCGCTGCATTAGGTTAATCCCAGGTTAGATGCCCTCTTCAGTTCCTGCCCATCATTTTCCCCATCCAGAGTACCTGGTCGGTCGGTCGGTCGGTCGGTTAGTTGGTTGGCCTCTTTTATTTGGTACCAGGGATTGAACTTGGGACCTTGCACTTGTGAGGCACGAGGCAACACCACTGAGCCAAATCCCTGGCCCTGGTTGACTTGGCTTCTTTTTTCTTTTTTCTTTTCTTTCTTTCCTTCCCTCCTTTCCTCCTTCCCTCCTTCTGTCCTTTCCTCCTTTCCTTATTTCTTTATATTATTTGTCCTATTTGTATGTAGTAGTCGTACCAGGGTACTTCATTGTTTCTCTTTCATTATAAATGATACTTGGCATTTGAGATCAATAACACATGATGGATGCGATGATTTATTACTTCTTTCCCAATAAGATTTTTTGCTTTTCTTTTACCTACTGAGGATTGAACCCGGGGCCTCTGCACTGATCTACATCCCCAGCCCTCTCTCTATTTTATATTTTGAAACATGGCCACTAAGTCACCCAGGCTGTGCTCCAACTTGTAATCCTCCTGCCTTGCCTCCTAGATTGCTGGTTTACAGGCATGGGCCACCACTGCCTGCTACCATACTTTTCAGACGTGCCCTGGACTTGCTGCTGCTTTGACCTGGAAACTAAACTAATGGATAAAGCAGCAAATAAGCAGGACCCAGGCCTGCCCTTACAAGGCATATGTGGGACTCCTGGGGACCCATGCAAAGGGAGATGGCAATTTCTAGGATGGCTGCCTAGGCTTGGTTAGACGTCTGTAGGCGTGGAGTAGTCAGCGTTCCAGCTTGTGTACTACTGGCTCATCTGCTCCTGTACCGGTCCTGTCACTGCTGCTTGATTTCCTCTGAATGTTCTTTGCAGCCTGGCGTGGTGTCCTGATCAGTATAACCCCACGCATTCTCTCTTTACTTTGCAGAGGAATGTTTGCTGGAGGATTGAAGGAAATGGAGCAGGAAGAGGTCCTGATCCACGGTGTATCCTACAATGCTATGTGCCAAATTCTGCATTTTATATACACCTCTGAGCTGGAGCTCAGCCTTGGCAATGTACAGGAGACGTTGGTTGCTGCCTGCCAGCTTCAGGTGAGGTTTACTGTGTTCAGCAAGGCAGATCCACACCCTCAAACACCCAAGATGCCTACTGAGCAGTGACATTGGAGTAACGTAGTTCCAGAGGGCCAGGACACCAAGCAGTAAAGAAAGCCATGGAGGAGTGAGGCGGGACCCTGTGTCAAGACCTAGGAGTTAAAGCAGAATGGCTCCTGATGCCCCTTTGGGTTCGGCTTCCTGTCACTTTCTTTTACTTTTTTACTGTTTCCTTTTCCTGGCCTGGCTACTCTGCCAGGAAAAAGATTCTATACAGACACAAGTGGGCTGACCCAGGATGATATGTGTGTAATGGCCTGTGCTCTGTGATATTCTGGCAGCTCTTGAGTAACCCTTGCCCTGCAGCACACGCACGATGCTTTCTACCCATTCTCTATTTTTGGTTGCTTTTCTCTGTCTTTTTTTTTTCTTTTCGGAGTCAGGGCCTTACTATGTATCCAGACTGACCTTAAGCTCACCATGTAGCCCAGACTGGCCTTGAGCTTGCAACAAACTTAACCTCAGTCCCTGGAGTTCTGGGATTACAGGCCTATGCCACCACACCTGGCCTGCTCCCATTTCTTTAAAACTTTCCCCCTTTTAATACTTACGTTTTTTATAGAAGTCAAAGTTTTCTAGCTGGATGTGGTCGGCATGTACTACATAGTGAGTTCAAGGCCAGCCTGAACTACAGAGACCTTGTCTCAAAAACAAATAAACAAAAACCCAAAATTTTCTGAGTCTGAAATGGTGGCCTTCCATGGCCCTGCTGTGTCAAGTGGGGATTCCAGATGCCCTTAGGGGGCCCAGGCTTCAGAAGGTGCAGTTAAATCTCTGTGGTGTGAGTGCAGTTACACAGAACTGGGCCTGCAGGTGCTTTTCAGCTCCCAATCAGAAGTTAAGTCAATATGTTGAGTCACTTTTTTTTTTTTGGTACTGGGGATCAAACTGTGGGCCTTGCATTTGTGAGGCATGTGTGATACCACTGAGCTAAATCCCCAGTCCTCTTCCCACCTTTCTTGAAAGTGAAATACTATGCTGAGTTCATCACTCTGATTCTTTTCTTAGATGAGATCATGTTTAGGACAATTTGAAGAAAGTTGTCATAAGAAAACCTCTTTCGGGTATTTCTAGGTACCACTTGGCACAGTGCCCCATGGCCTGCTGCCCTCAGGTTGGCTCCATATGTAGGAGGTGTTCTGTACATGCTTGTTGGGCTAATCTGAGCACAGTTTGACTTAAGGTACTTGCATGAGTGTAGGTGGAACTGAGCCAGGGCAACGTTTTCAATTTTCCCCTGTTCTTTGGTTTAGAGGTCTCTCCTGTCCTTCTCTTCCTGTCCTTGTCCATTTGGGAACTCTCATCTGAGCTTCTGACCTCCCAATACTGCCTCTCCTCAGCTGCCTCATAGCATTACCCCCACGCCAGGCGCCCCAGTGACTGTCCCTCTCTTCCACACCTGCCAACTTCTGGAGCTCTTCTGAGTCTCCCTGTTCCGTGTCCCGTGATCACTGACGGTGCCCTCAACTTAGAATCTTGGTCCCCTGACCTTCTTCATTTCCTGTTTAAGTTAGGACATTTAAATTAGAACAAATCACCTCTTTGATCTTGTGTATGCCTATCTTTGTTATTTGTTTCCATTTTCTTGACCTTTGTCCTGGTTTCTATCTTTCCATTTCTGCCTCCCAGATGGTTTCTGTTTTTTCTCTCTTTCTCTTTCTTTTTTTGTGGCACTGGTGATTGGACACAGGGAGCACTGAACCTGTATCCCCAGCCCTTTTCAATTTATTTTTAAATTTTGAGAAAGGGTCTCCATAAGTTTTTCGAGGTGGCCTTGAACTCGTGATGGTGCAGCTGTCACACTGACCCTAAATCACCTTCCCAGCACCGCTTTCCCTCTCACCCCTCAGCTCAGAGACATCAGTCCTCCTCGGTTTGGCCGTTGCTCCTGGGAATCCTTTTGGTTTCTTGAATTCTTTTCTCATTCTCCCCCACCCCTCCCTGTATGATTTTAACATATTGCATTTTAAACAAACATGATATTATATAAAGGAAGTTCTGCTTGGCATGGCAATATGGAGTGCATAGGCCTACCAGACAATAATAAATTGTTTCTGTAATAAATTATTGTTGACGGCTTGCTCCTGTGTGCTATGCCCTAGAGTAGTTTAGGATCTAACTCTTTAGGTGTGCCCAGAAACCTGGGTCTGAGTCTCAGTGAAACTGTTCTCACTGGGTCACCCCAAGCAAATGTGTTCCCTTCTCTGACTTTCTCCTGCGGTTCCTGCAACTGTGGGCCTTGGCTGTTTCCTCTGAGATTCCACCCAGCACAGGGCCCTCTGCTGTAAAAACAGGAGAGAAATTACAGAGGTCCTGTTATGGGAGGCCAGGTTCTTTTCAGGGTGCTGCTGTTCAAGCCCACTTGGGGCTCTTGGCTCTCACATTTTACCTGGTCTTTAGGGTCCAGGTACATGACACGTAAGAAACAAGATTTTAAGAAGAAACAAAGCAGAAGTGACTTATGGGATAAAATAGGTGATGGTCAAGTGAACATTTTTGGGACCTAACAGCACCTTGGGGACATCTCCTATGGGGCATACTTCTGACAGTTTTCAGGTGTCCATTAGCCAGCAAGTAGGAGCTCTCTTTAGAATTAAAAACAAAATAAAACAAAACATTTTTTTGATCCCTGTACAAAAAAAATTTTTTTTTAATGTTTATTGATAGGCTTCAAATACCAGCAAAATTCCTACACTTGTAATTGTTAGTTGATGATACTGGATATGTCAGTACAGTCATCCTTCAGTATCCTTGAGAAACTGCTTCCAGGACTCCTTTTGGATACCAAACTCCGAGGATACTCAAGTCTCATAAAATGGCGTAGTGTTTGCATATACCCTACCATATCCTTTTCTTTTTTAAGCCAGGATCTCATCTAGTGGCCTAGGCTACCCTTGAACTCTTGATCCTCCTGCCTCAGCTGGGATTGTGGGCATGTGCTACTGTGCCCAGACTCAAATATTTCTCATCCGTAGTAGGTTGAATCCTTGTATGTGGAACCTACATACAGATAGGGAGGGCTGACTATATTCCCAATTTTATAGAAACTCTAAAATCCTATTTTCCTTTTCTCTCTCTCTCTCTCTCTCTCTCTCTCTCTCTCTCAATACTGGGTATTTGAACCCAGGGCCTTGAGCTTGCTAGGCAAGCGCTCTACCACTGAGCCACAACCCCAGCTTTAAAAGTTTATTTTCCTAAAGAACTAGTCAGCGCTTAGTATATTATCCCAGGCACTTTCCCTGGAGCCCTTCTCTTTGGCTCCTTTATTTCTGCCATGCTTTGCTGATCAAACCCAGGGTGTCCTTGGATAACCGTAAGAGCCCTGTGGCCTGATTCTCAGTTCTGTCCCACTGCTGTGCCATTTTCTCACTTGTCTTCCTGCCTACCCGTCAGTGCTTCTGCACACCTGGGAACCCTGTACTTACAGAGTTCAGTGGGTTTTTCAACTCAGGCAGGGGGCCTCAGGACAGTGTGCCAGCTTTTCAAGAATTTTGAGTGAGGGTCTTGGGATGTATGCTAGCCAAGTATCTGGAGATACTCTGCTGGCAGTTCTGAGTGTGTGGTGAGTGGCACAGGGCCTGGTCCTGGTGAGTCCTGGTGGTATTGTGGGCCTGTAACTTCCACTGGAACTCTTGTCCAGAGTGTGTTTTCAGTCCCAGCACTTTTGGAGAGGGAGACTCTTCTAAAGAAGCTCAGGGTAGGGGCAGGAAGAGGTCCCTGGCCACTTCCACATCAGGGATGTCTGATGTAGTCACTGTGGATGCTAATTTCTGCTTCTCTGAAGGACTAGTACTCTTAATTTTTTTTTTTTTCTGGTACCTGGGATGGTATTCAGGACCTTGTGCTTGCCAGGTAGGCACAGCACCATTGAACTACATCCCTGGCCCTTGCAGGTACTTTTGATCCAAAGTATGCTCTTAAGTGTCCGGTAGTTCGTGTCACTTGATCATTCTCAATATATTTCTCTCCACCTTATTCCTTTTATATAGATGAGGAAATCGAGGCTCAAAGAGAGTAGGAATGCGCCATACTTGGCTTATTTGGCACATATCCAAGCCAGGATTTAAATGCAGACTGTCTGGGGGCTGGGGATTTAGCTCAGTGGTTCCGCCACCTGCTTTGCAAGTGCAAGGTCCCGAGTTTGATCCCCATTACCAAAAATAATAATAATAAATAAATCCAGACAGTCTGCAGTTATTCTGTCATCTGTGTTGGGGACAGTTGAGGGAGATGGTTTGGGAGAGGGGTTCTTTCTTTCCCCCACCCCAGGGTACCATCTGCTAGACCCAGCCCTTGTAAGCCATATTTCTGCTATTAGTCTGCTTGAACCCACCACCTGTCAGCTTGAGTGACTGTCCTTGTCTTTGCAGATCCCAGAAATTATCCATTTCTGCTGTGATTTCCTCATGTCCTGGGTGGATGAGGAGAATATCCTTGATGTATACCGGCTGGCAGAGCTCTTTGATTTGAGCCGCCTGATCGAGCAGCTGGACACCTACATCCTCAAAAACTTTGTGGCCTTCTCAAGGACTGATAAGTATCGCCAGCTTCCCCTGGAGAAGGTCTACTCCCTCCTCAGCAGCAATCGCCTGGAAGTGTCCTGTGAGACAGAGGTGTATGAGGGAGCCCTGCTCTACCATTATACCCTAGAGCAGGTGCAGGCTGACCAGATCTCACTGCATGAACCCCCTAAACTCCTTGAGACAGTGCGGTTTCCCCTGATGGAAGCCGATGTCCTCCAGCGGCTGCACGACAAGCTGGATCCCAGCCCACTGAGGGACACAGTGGCCAGCGCCCTTATGTACCACCAGAATGAGAGTCTGCAGCCCAGCCTGCAGGGCCCACAGACAGAGCTACGCTCGGACTTCCAATGCGTTGTGGGCTTTGGAGGTATTCACTCCACACCGTCCACAGTCCTCAGTGACCAAGCAAAGTACCTGAATCCCCTGCTGGGAGAGTGGAAGCACTTCACTGCCTCCCTGGCCCCCCGCATGTCCAACCAGGGCATCGCGGTGCTCAACAACTTTGTGTATTTGATCGGAGGGGACAACAACATCCAAGGATTCCGAGCCGAGTCCCGATGCTGGAGGTACGAAAGGGCACTTGTTGGAACCTTTGTCTACAGGTGACGTTGTGGTATAAAAGTTGGTAAGAGGGCTGATCGGGGACATGTTCTAGTGCCACATCACCGTGGAGCCAGTTCCCACATGAGCTTTTTACATGAAGTTCACAGCTCCTCAGGTATTCACCTGTTTTATAGAATAAAGTCCAGGTGAATTCAGAGATTGGGGACCACAGTGAGATGAGGAAAATGCGCCCAGGACTCTGCTCATTCCTTTCTGTCCCTGCTCCTTCTCAGAATCCCACTCATCCTGAATCCAGCCTGCCCACCCTTGCCAGGCAGTGCTGAGTTGTGTATGCAGAGAGTCACGTGGCTGGCTGAGTACAAGGAATGGGGCATGCTGGACAGGGCAGCTACTCCGTCTTGCTCTCTCTTGAGCTTTGCTGTGTCTTGTTTCTGCTTGCCTGCTGGTCTGCTCTGCTCTTCTCTCTCCTGACTTCCAGTCCGTGGTGGAGGATAGCTTGCTACTGCTGTGCCAGCTTGAGTACACAGGTTTACCCAGGGAAATGGGAAGGGCCAGTGAGTCTCCTGCCAAATCCCTCTTGGCTATATAGTCAACTAGGAGTTGGGCACAAGTTTTCATGAAAGGAGGTAGTTTTTTAAGATGGTTGTTTTGGGTTGCTTTGGTCTGCAGGATTCCACCAACTTTATTGATCAACTAACCTGTGATCCCAGAGATCCATTTCTTTGGCAGAGCAAGGGCCAGTAGATCGTCTCCATGACCTCAGCTTCCACTGGGTTTCCAGTCCCCCCACTACTGCTACCACCATACTTTGGCATGTGTGGGAAATCTCCCCACCCTGCAGGACAAGAGATGACATCACAGAGATTGCCATCTGCTTCTGGCACCACGAGCTAGCTGCTTACAGTTCATGTTCGTGTTTTGTCTTCTAGGGTAAGGGTCAGGGTGGGATCTGGCCTGGCAAGCATAGTGATCCTGACTCAGGAAGAGAGGCCTATTCCTCGGGCATTTCTGCTCTCCTACCCCTCAAAAGCAGTCTTCTTTGTTAAACTAATGAAATTCAAACAAAGCTGGCTAGTAATGTGTTTTAGTGAAATAGGGGAAACAGCAGAGTTCAGAAAGGAGGAAATAACTTCCTTCATTTCCTCTCTAACCAAATACCGGTCGATATGGCTTTGCCAGATTCTGGCCCAGTCTCAAAGTTTCTTTTTCTTAGGGGCTCATTTTTACAGCTGTGGGGCCAAAGCCAGGCCTCCTTACCTAAATAAACCCGCAGAACTACAAAGCAGAGCCTTCCCGAATGTTTTACTTCTGGCTGTCAATAGAAGGTAGAAGTAACTATTCACCCAGCAGGGAGGCTGGACTTTTCTACCGGGCTGTCCCTAGGGGTCACACTTGGGGACTCTGGCTGCCCCTGTACCCTGGCCTCCTGTTATGTGTGGCTGATCTCAATTTCACTCAAAACACTGGGCCAAATTCCTTCTCATGGGCATGTGCTGTAAGACCAGAGCCAAACTCTGCACAAAGCTGATATTGCCGCTGTGATCAATAAGCCCAGTCTCAGACTCCAGTCAGAGTTGTATGGTGATGACAGATGGAGATGGCAAAACTTGCCTCTCAAAGTGTGGAGCTGGTGGGGAGGGCAACAGCCTGCTGGCGTGCCTGCTTGCTCCCTAACCTGGTGCTGTCCTCTCTGCAGATGGAAAGCTTCAAGTGAACTCAAAACTTCAAATTAATCTGATTTTCTTTGGCGGGGTGGGTTCTCTTGTAGTAATCAAAGCCAGGCCTCATGCATGTTAGGCAAAAGCTCTACCACTAAGCTGTACCCCCAGTCCTAAGTCTTTTAATTTGAATGTTCTAAGAGTTCCGTTCTTTCTCCTCTTTCCCCTTTCATAACTTACCCACCTTAGAATCTATAGACCAGTGATGGTGAACCTTTAGCACACGTTCCACAGCCAGCTTTTGAAAGCTCTAAAAAGCTTCACCTTCGCTGCTATAGACCATCAGAAAAGAAGAAAAGAAGTTTTTGCAGTAAATTAGGGTTTATATTCTGAGGAGTTGTACCTACCAGATTGTATCATAAAGCTCTGATACAGAAACTCCACGTGAAGTTACTTCTTGAAGCAAATTACATTTGCCTCCATGACACCACTTTCTCTTATTCTGTCTTTGATCGCACCTATATTACTGTATGCATCACCTTCATATTACAGTAAATACCAGAGACAACTAATTTACAAAAAAAGGTTTATTCAGCTTATAGTGTTGGAAGTTTAAAATCTCTGATCAGGTGGTGCGATGTGGTGACCATTGGTTTGGAAGTATGTACGGGTTATATCTTGAACCAGAGAAAGAAAGACACAGGAAGAGATCAGGATCCCACGTTTAGACCATTGCCGTTGCCCACAATGTTCTTTGTGCCTTTTCCATAGCCGTAGCTCTGTGAGTATGAAACACTGGCTGTGTGCTGGGCTTAGAAGTACCCAGTCTTATCTTGCCATGTTCTCTGACTCTACATAAAATAATAACTTGGTTGTTTCCTCAGGCATTTCCATAACTATGAATATTGTGACTTACATTTAAATTTTAAAAGGTTTTCATAAATTTTAAAAGCATTAACAGTCATGGAAATATTTAGGTTGTGGATATACAGAAAAAAAAAACTACTAAACTTAGGAAAGACCCCCCCAAAATATTTTTGTACCAACTCTAGTTTGCATCTGTGAGTTTGCATTAGTCCTGCAATCTAAAAATCTGGATATGGGGAGGCTGAGGTAGGAGGATTGCTGTGAGTTCGAGACCAGCCTGAGCTACATAGTGAGTTCCAGGTCAGTCTCAACTACATAGTGAGACCCTGTCTCAAAAAAAAAAAAAAAATCTGGATTAAAGTCACTATCTTAGTCAATTCAGGCTACTTAGTCAATACCTTAGGCTGAGTATCTCAAACACATGTATTTCTCACAGTTTGGTTACTGAGAAGTCCAAGATCATGATGCCTGACGACCCAGTCCTAGTGAAAGACTGTTTTTGCTGTGTCTTCATATGGTAGAAAGGAAGCTCTAGTCTCTTCCTTTTTGGGGGATCGAACTTTGGACCTTGCACTTATGAAGCAGGTGGTGGAACCACTGAACTAAATCCCTGGCCCTATTTTTTGTTTTTGTCTTTTGAGACAGGATTTTGCTGTATAGCTCAGGCTGGCCTACAATTTGTAATCTTCTCACTTCAGCGTCCCAAGTTCTGGTTACAGGGATTACAGGCCTGCACTGCCATGCCGAGATCGAGTCTCTTCCTTTCAAAGGAACGCTAATCCCATCATGAGTATTCTGCTGTCATGACCTCATTAACTTGGAAGGCCCCATCTCCAAGACCTCCACTTGGTTTTAGGGTTAGGGTATTAGGGTTTCAACACAGGAGTTTTGGGGAACACAAACATTCAGTTCATAGCAGTGACTAAAGTTGTTTTTATTTTTATGTGAAATACTAAACTAAAGCTTTATAGTTTTTAGAAAAAATACTATTTGTGGTTCTGGTCCAACAAAATGGAAAATTAATCCAATAAAAGCAGAAGTTAGGACTGGAGGTGGATGTACCTCAGTGGCAGAGTGTGAGGCCCTTGGTTCTGTCCCTAGTACCACACACAAACAAATGAGGTCAGATAGAGGGCAAAGGAGGGAAATAAGAAATCCACAAAACTAAATATTGACAAGTGGTGTCATTGTGAATGTGTGTGGTTGCTTAAATATGAAGCCACAAAATCAAATGAACTCAGCCTAAGAAACTGAGGGCAGAGCAGCGGGAAGCAAATGGAAGCATCCAGAGGGTTTTGTCTCCCTCTGGTGGGAAAAGCAGATGTGGTTTAGTCTGAGAATAGGAGGGTAGGGGGCAGGGGACGGGTTCCTCAAAGGAGCGCATGGCACCTGCTGAAAGGCAGTGACTGCCCCGTCTAGCCAGGTGACAGGGCCTCTGTGAGCCCAGGCCGCTGGGCCCAGCCACACCCTCTTCTGGCTTGTTGTCCCTGATTCAGGTTTTAGACACTGCCTTTTCAGGAGGCCTTTCCGGGTCACTGCAAAGAGCTGCCCTTCCAGCCCCCACCGCCTGGCTGGTCACCCTGCTTGCCTCGCTTGTTTCTTCTTGGGATGTGGAATTCTGTAGCGCGCTTGTTTGCTCTGTCTGCCTGCTTCCCCTTCTGCCGCAGAAGTCAGTGCCCTGGCCCTCTGGAGTCCCTGCACTGAGCACTGAGGTATTTGTCGAGGGAACGAGTGAACTCCTTACTGGTAGTCTTACTCCTTTGCTTTCCTCGCTCAGTAGATAGTACCTGGCTACCTGAGCCAGATGCTGCCCTGCAGTCTAGGGCTGCAGAAGCGAACCCTGGTCTTTCAGGCACCTCCCATTCCCCACCCCCCAGCCCCGCCACAAGTTAACAAGGAAACCGTTATGCACCTTGTTCTTCATGAATTCCTCATGACGTGTTCTGGGCCGGTGATATCACCCCACTGGGAAAGCACAGAAGAGGAGAGATTAAAGTGATGCCCAAGGACACCCAGCTAGATGGGCAGGTCAGTGTGTCCCCTGCTGGTGGCCGCACCTCCCGAGGCACCTGTTTCCTGTATTCCTCGGGGCTGACCAAGGGGCATGGGCAGGAGAAAGGAGCTGCAGGGCATGTCTGACTTGTGCTGTAGGTGAGAAGTGAAACTAATCTCTTCACGGGTTAGGCCAAAGAGAAAATATTTATCTGAAAGAAGCTGTAATTGTCAATGGGCCCTTGACCAAAGAGCTTCAGGAGCAGAGCTGGGCAGATGCTGGCACCTGGGTGGTTGCTCCAGGGAAAAAGGCCGGTCATGGACTGGGAAAAGAGTGAGGGCATCAGGTTCATGGGTCCTGGACCCTTGTGGTTCCTGGGTCCTTTCTATTCACCGAGCAGGACAGCTGCGTGTGTTGTACGTGGCCAGGCCTGGACATGGAGAGAAAGGGAATAGGCTCCCGAGAAAGTGAGGCGAGCACGGGGTGGGCTGTGGACCATTTGGGTCTGGGAGTGTGAGCTGGGACCTCACTGGTGCAGACGGAGCAGACGGCAGGGGAGTCCTGGGCTCTGCAGAGTCCAGGTGAGCGTGGGCAGCGTGGGCCCGCAGTGCAGGAGGAGCGGAGAGCAAATGGCTGAGTCACTGCGGGGGAGCAGCCGTGGGAGTGCTGTGCAGACAGAAGGGGCCAGGACAGAGGGCAGGGCAGCCCGACCAGTCCGGGGGCGCGGTGAGGGGCCCCTGGGCTCTGTGCTGGGGGAGAGTGAGGCCCACTGCTTGGGGTTTAGACCTTTTTGTGAAAATAGGCAAGGAGGAAGAAGAAAGGGCTGTGACTTGGGGACAGCTGCACTGTGAGTGGGACGTGAGGTGGTGGCCCTGATGTCAAGAGAGTGAGCTACAGTAACAGAGGTGCTGGGCTCAGCAGAAGTCAGCAAAGGTCAGTGCCCCTGCCTCCGCTGGGAGCACCCTTCCCTCTCCGCGAGCCTTGGGCGCGAGCTGCTGATCACTGCAGCCGGTATGTCCAGGCGGCTTCAGCCCAGCTACCCTCCTGGGCCCAGGTAGACTCCGCCAGCCTCATCGGCCTCCTGCAGCCACCCTGCGTCTCCCTTCCATGGGACGTTCCTGGAATCCCGCAGGACCCTGCCTCCATGATGCCCACAGTTCAGGGTAGGAGGGCTTCCCTTCCATAGGAGGGTCTTCGGGGGTGGGTAAGCCATGAGAACCAGGGTAAGAACAAGATAGCTATTTCAGATGCATGAAGCAGGACCGGGGGAGGCCTGGCACATGCCGAATATTGACAAGGCTAAGGGCACGGTGGTTACTGTTCAGAGGGCACATCTGAGCAACAGCCACATAATGGAGTGTTCTGGGGGGACCGGGGTGCTCATCCAGTTGAGAGAGGATCTACCTGAAGTCTGTCTGAAGAGAGACAGATGAGGTGGAAGTGGGCACAGGAATAGCAGGTGGGCAGCCTGGGGTGCACTGTTGGGTGGCGAGAAACTATTCCAGAGGTTACACCTGGAAGGTGCCAGCATCTTGGGCAGAACCCAAGAGGCTCCTAGCCATACCTTCTTGGCTATGGGGAGTACGTGCCCATGCTCTGGTGTGGCATCCTGCTGGCCTGGCAGTGGGTCAGCATGTTCTGTGCTCTGGCTTGGGGCTGCCGAGGTGGAGGGTGTTCGGGCCGGGCTGCAGCACATGGGCCGAAGGGTGGGAGCAGGCACTGTGAGCCCACAGGGCCCGCGGCTTGCCTGGTCAGTTATACCTTGTTCCCATCGCCCCTCAAAGGTACGACCCTCGGCATAACCGCTGGTTCCAGATCCAGTCCTTGCAGCAGGAGCACGCAGACCTGTGTGTGTGCGTTGTGGGCAGGTACATCTATGCAGTGGCAGGACGTGACTACCACAATGACCTGAATGCTGTGGAGCGCTATGACCCTGCCACCAACTCCTGGACCTATGTGGCCCCGCTCAAGAGGGAGGTAAGGAAGCACTCCAGGAGGGCCCTCTGGGTTTCCTTCCCTGGGTGCTCTGGGCATTGGAGACCCAGGTGTGAAGGCCCAGATCAGGAAACTAGGCCCAAGGAGCAAGGGCCACGTTGCTCCCAGTACCCTGCAGAGTATATTGGTGGGGTCCCAAAGCCTTAGCCTCTATCTGGAGACCACTCTGGTACCCCTCCGATTCTCACGTGCCGATCTTTGTCATGCCACCCTGGCCCTGCGGAAATGAACTGGAACATTTCCAAAAATGTCCAACAAGAGGGACCCTGAAGGAGAAGAAAGGTCTTAGCAGCCTGCCTCACAAGCTTGTGCTCAGACTTCTCCCTCACAGCCCCTGGAAGACAGGGTGTTCCAGAAGCCAAATTGCTTTGAAGGTTCTATTCTTTATGTTAAAAATAAAAATCATGTGCATCTATGCACCAATACTTCTGTTTATTCCAATTTGAATTCCAATTTGATGCTGTTTAAAGTTATGCTCATTAGCTGGGGATTTAGCTCAGTGGTTCCAGCGCCTGCCTCACAAGCACAAGGGCCTGAGTTCAATCCTCAGTACCAAAATATAAACAAACAAACAAATAAATCTATGCTCATTGCCCAGAAATGATGTTTAGAGAGGCACCTCCTTCATCTGGTGGCTCTACGGTACTCAAACCTAGCCAAAAAAAAAAAACGCGCCATGGGCAGGCCCCGGAGGAAGGAAGAGGCCTTGCGTGCCCTTGCTTCCTCAGCCTCAGCCTGTGCAGACAGGATACGCACATCCTGCTGGTGCCAGCAGCTGCTTGCAGAGCACCTGCTACCTGCTGACACCTCTGAGGATCCCTGAGCACCCTAGAAGCAGAGGCTGGTGTGGAGGCGAAGGCCTCTGCCCCGCACCTGCATGGCCTGCACTCACTGCAGGACCTTAGCAGGAGCCTTGGGGAGCCTCTTTCTACTGTCTGCCGTTTCTGTCCCTCCCCACCCCAAAACTGATGCTTTGACCTCAGATTATGAGGAGTGGGGTCTCCCTGATGGGTCTACCTGCTCCTCTCTACCCAAGTCACCGGCCAACATGCTGAGTCCTGTCACCCTTTCTCAGACAACTGTGCGCTTCCAGCTGTGGCCTGCGGCTTGCTCCTCATCTTCTCCTGAAGAAAGGTGAAAAGATATCATGGTAAAGATCGGGAGCCCTTGAGACCTGGTGCTGAGGAGGTGCTCCTGGGTCCCATTTCGGGCCTCGGAGAAGTGGGGGCACAGTGGGGGCCCCTCTGTTTGGGGTGGGAGGGGAAGCCGCAGTTCTCCAGCCTGGCCACACGAAGGCAGCCTTGGTCTTCAAGGAGCAATGCCACATGGAGCATTTTACTTTCCTTTTTGCGTGCTTAGCTTCCAGTCTCTCAATCACTACTAATCACCTACTGTGAACCAAGCTGCGGATCCAGTGGTGACAAGAAATGGCAGCCGTTATCCCTGAAAGTGTTTACAGCCTTGCAAGAGAGATAATGATGAACCACTCAACAAATCAGTGGAATAGTTAACAACTGTAATAAGTGGGATGAAAGAAACAAAGATGGGGGAGGAGCTCTCGCAGGACGTGGAAATGGACTGTGGAAGGTCCGTCTGAGGCGGTGTCGGACGAGGTCGAGCCCTAAAGGAAAGGGGCACCAGCTGCAGGAGTAGGTAGGGCCTTCGGGCCGGCAGCTTCACAGTCTGTCCTGAGCAGGGGAGTCTCAGGGAGCACTGTACAGAGGAGATGGCTGAGACAGCGTGAGCAGTTGGGCAGGCAGCAGTGCTGGGACCTGTGGAGGTGGAGGGGAAGAGGAGCTGAGTGTGCTTCCGGAGGTAATTCGAAATGATTCATACAGTCAAACGTAGAGCTATCAAACCTTTAGAAAACAAAAAGCTTCAGGGTCTGGGATCGGGTGAGCTTTAAGATTTCACTTCAAATGCATGTACCGTAAAAAGAAAAACTGATAAATTGGGCCTGTTTAAAATGAAAAACTTGGCCAGGTATGGGTACATGCCTGTAACCCTAGCACTCTGAGAGGCTGAGGCAGGAGGATCACAAATTGAAACCCAAGTCTGGGCAATTAAGCAACTTAATGAGACTCTGCCTCAAAAATTAAAAACGGCTGGGGATGTATGTAGCTCAATGTAAAAGCCTGGGTTCAGTCCCTAGTACCACCAAAAAACAAAAAAGAAAAAGGACAAAAAACTTGAAGAGACGTTCCACTGAGGAGAACATGCAGAGGCAAATAAAGCCATAATGAGAGAACCACCTATCAGAATAAAATAAAAAGTGGAGGAACTGGAGGTGTAGGTCAGTCCTTATCTGCATAAGCACGTGTGAGGCCGTGAATTCAACCCTTACCTTTTTTTGTTTTGTTTTTGTTTTTTGAGACAGGGCTATGTTCCCCTGGCTAGCCTTGAACTCTCTGTGTAGCCCACAGTGGCCTCAAACTTGAGATCCTCCCGCCTCAGCCTCCTGAGTGCTGGGATTACAGGCGTGCATCACTATGCCCAGGGTAACTCCCACTATTGGAAAAAAAAAGTGGTAACAAATTCTGGTAGCTATTTGGGGAAAGGTTTGCTGGTGGGGATATAAAATGGTGCACCCTTAGGAGATTGGCAGTTTCTTCCAACAATCATGCAACCCACCAGTTGCCATTTTAGGAATTCATCCCAGAGAAATGGAAACTCTGGACATAACTATTAATAGCGGTTTCATTGGTAATAGCCAGAGACTGTAAACAAATAACATGTCCTCTGTAGGTTAAACTGTGGTAGATGCACAGCAAGCAAAAGGAGCCTACTATAGGTGCATGCAGCAGCCTGCGAGAACCTGAATAGGCCGAGAAAGCCCTTCTTGAAAGTTATACACTGACGGCGCTCATAGAGCACTCTGCAGATGACAAAACTGGAAACAGAGAACTGAGCGGTGGCTGTCAGGGATTAAGTAGGAATTTGGGGCAGGTGGCAAGTGGGTGTGACAGGAGGTCAGCTCTCCAGAACAGAACATTTACTCCAGAATAGCACAGGATTGCAGTCCATACTATACATGCCGTGACAGGCCTTAGGAGGGTGGAGCAGGGGAACCCTTTAAACACAGAGCAGCCCCGTCAGCTCTCTTCAAATGAGCATCATTGGTTCGAGGAGCCCATTACAGGAGTTAGTGATTTGCACTAGCAATGTTGGTCTCTGCTGGGGAGGTATCTAGAGATGTGACATCTAGAAAGCCCTGGAGAGGTTGAGAGGCAGGCTCAAGAGCAATGGGCTGTGTTTTCCTACTGCATTAGACACACCCACCTCTGAAGTGTCCTTTGATATCCACAGAGGATTGGTTTCAGGACCCTTTGAGGACACCAAAACCCATGCAGCTCAAGTCCCTTGTGTAAAATAGCATCGTTTTTGCACCGAACCTCACTTAAATGCCCACTGCAATGCAAATGCTGGGTAAATAATTGTTAGACTCTGTTGTTTGTGGGAAAATGGCAAAAAAAAGTGCATGTGTTCAGTACAGACACAATATATTAGAAGATTTTCCATCTACCATCGACCATTGATTGAACCTGCAGATGCAGAAGGCCAGCTGTATTTGATTTTTTTCTCTTACTCTTTCCTGCTCACATCATGTAGTTTCAGGTTGGCAAAACAGATATGGAGGCCTGTCAGAAGGTCCGTAGCATCGCTTGGACAGTGGGCCCAAGGGAGGGGTTGAAGTCACTGTCTGTGGGCCACTTTTCCCTGAGCTATGGCCTTTTTCCTGACTGGCTTTGAGAAGGATGCTTAGGGCAGGGATTTAGCCCAGAGGTGCCACCACCTGTCCTGCAAGCACAAGGTCCTGAGTTCAATCCCCAGTACCCCTCACCATCAAGTTCTTTCTGAAAAATGTATTTCAGTATTTCAATAAATATTGATATGCCCAGCTTGATTAAAGAAAGAAAAAAGAAAAGAAAAGGATGCTTTGTGCTCACTTCAGCAGCTCATCTATGAAAAGGATGCCTTGGTTTTTTGGAACTCCTCCAAGCAGATAACTCCTTTAGGGGCAAAGGAAAGACAAAGATTGGGCTTGATCTCTGGGTCTGTACCTGTGGGCAGAGGGTGGGAGTCAACAAGTAGAAGGCTACGTCTGTTTGGAACCCAAGGAGCAAGTCTGGAAGTAATAAAGCCTTAGGAAGCAGCTGAGGCAGGTTTGGGGCAGGGAGTGGCCTCAGCAGAGGCTGCCTGGCCACCCTTCTTGCTGCCCTTCTGCACCCTCTTTGCTGACTGCTGCTCTCTTGGCTGCTCCACGCAGGTGTATGCCCATGCGGGTACGACGCTGGAGGGGAAGATGTACATTACTTGTGGCCGCAGAGGGGAGGACTACCTGAAGGAGACGCACTGTTACGACCCAGGCAGCAACATCTGGCACACCCTGGCTGACGGGCCAGTGCGGCGAGCCTGGCATGGCATGGCCACCCTTCTTGACAAGCTGTATGTGATCGGGGGCAGCAACAATGATGCTGGCTACAGAAGGGATGTGCTTCAGGTGAGCCAGGGCCAGAGCTGCCCACTTAGGCAGCAAAATCAATCAGAAAGCCAGGCATGGTGCTACATGCCTGTCATCCCAGCCACTCTGGAGGATCAAACGGGAGGATCACAAAATTGAGGCCAGTCTGGGCAACAACTTAGTGGGATTTTGTCTCAAAAAAGGGCTGGGGATGTAGTTCAGTATTCCCTGGGTTTATCCCCAGTGCTGCCCCATTAGACCCCCCTTTTTTTTTAGTAGAAGTTACAGAGAATTCAGGGTACCTCCTGCCCCCACACTTAGGCCGGCACATCCTGTAGTGCTCCTATAACAATCACCACAGCCGGGCGTGGTGGCGCACGTCTGTAATCCCAGCACTCAAGGCTGAGGCAGGAGGATCGCTGTGAGTTCGAGACCACCCTAGGCTACATAGTGAGTTCCAGGTCAGTCTCAACTACATAGTGAGACCCCTGTCTCAAAAAAACCCAAAAAACAAAAAACAACAAAAAAAAAGGAAAAACAATCGCCATAGCCACTTAACATATTTAACATATTACAGTTTTGTAGATTATAAGTCTGGGAGGCTTAAATCAAGATGTCAACAGACCCTTAGAGGAAGATCCTCGTTCTGCTGTTGCAGAACTCAGACCCTGGCCACCATCCCTGACTCAGGGACACTTCCTCTTCAGAGGAGGAAGAACAGGTTGTCCTCCCATCTGTCTGTCTGTCTTTCCCCCTTCCTTTTGCAAGGTCATGTACAATTATAGTTGCTCCTTCATGTATAATAGGATTATGTCCCCATAGACTCCTGTTAAATTGAAAATATCTCAGGTCAAAAAATGTATTCACCTTGCCTAACCTACAGGTTAGCAATACAGTACACTGTCAGGACTCAGTTGCTCACTCGAGATGGATCGCTGACTAGGAGCTGCAGCTCACCCCCACTGCCCAGCATCACGACAGATGATCGTACCATGGTTCACCAGCCTGGAAAACACCAAAATTCACAAGCTGAAGTACAGTTTCTACTGAGTGTGTATCACATATATACCGTTGTACTATTGTAGGTCGAAAAAAAATTGTAAGTTGAAACATTTTAAGTCAGAGACCTTCTGCAGATGGGTCTACCTAGAAAATTCACCCAAAAGCAAAACAAAACAAAAAAACAACCTCACCTCAAGGTCTATATTCTTAACCCCATCTGCAAAATCACTTTCACCATGTAAAATAATACAGAGTCCAGAGATTAAACCTGCACACCCTTGAGGAACCGATTAATCAGTCAAGGAGATACGATTTTTATATCTCTTAATACATACTGCCTTTCCTGATACATTGTGTCAATTTGATACACACGAGTGTGGCTTTACACACCTTAATCAGCATTGAATTTCGTGATTTTTTTCCTTCCCCGGTGCTTATTAAGAGTTGGCATTTTGATTTTGTATTTCTTTGATTACCAGTAGGTTGAACATTTTCCCGTGTTTTTGTTTACTGTTTTGAAAATAGAAAACATTGCTAGTGTCAGCCTGGCCCATGGACAGGACTTTTCCGGGCTACCCTGGTCAGCTGGCCTGCAGCGGGCCGGCAGCCTCTCCCAGCAGGTGCCCACCCTTGACCCTAGCCTTGGCTTTGCAGGTGGCCTGCTACAGCTGCTCCTCTGGACAGTGGTCATCTGTCTGCCCACTCCCAGCTGGGCATGGCGAACCTGGCATTGCTGTGCTGGACAACAGGATCTACGTGCTGGGCGGCCGTTCTCACAATCGTGGCAGTCGCACGGGCTATGTGCACACCTACGATGTGGAAAAGGACTGCTGGGAAGAGGGGCCCCAGCTGGACAACTCCATCTCAGGCCTAGCGGCCTGTGTGCTGACCCTGCCCCGGTCCCTGCTCCTTGAGCAGCCCCGCAGAACCCCTGACCGCAGCCAGGCTGACCCAGACTTTGCCTCAGAGGTGATGAGTGTGTCAGATTGGGAGGAGTTTGACAACTCTAGTGAGGACTAGGGCCTCGGTGCCCGGCATCTGAGGGAGGGTTGGCTGAGGCATCAAGGGCGGTGTGGTGCACAGAGCTAGGCCAGCACACTTGGCCCTAGGGTTGGGCACTTCCCCGGAACCGTGACTCTACAGCCCCTGCCACCCTTTCTTTACTCCAGCCCTTCAGCATTTGAAAGGCTGGTGCAGACCCTGTCGTTGTGGATTATGTTACACTTGGAAATGTTCCCAAAAGGCCATAGTCCTTTGAGGGCGTGACCAGGCCTGGTCCTCCTTGGTGAGCCCTGGAGATCTTACGTCACCAGCTGTCTTGGGTCCCCCCTCCCTCCTTGGATCCGTTCCCCGATGGGCTAAGGAGGTCCCTTCTCCAGCAGGACCTGGGGGCTGGGGGCCCAGGCAGAGGCACTGAGGCACGTGGCATCTACCCTTCCTTCCGTGGACGGGGCAGGGCTGCATGAGCAGCCAGACCTTGAGTGACTGGGGGCTCCAGAGGGCAGCGAGGGAGCAGAGACACAAAAAGTTGCCTGGGACAGGTTCTTGTGATGAAGAGATCCCTTGCCACTGGGTTTTTCTGACCCTGTGTTGTTGATAAATGGAATAAAGCATTATACAAAAGATGATAACTGTTTTCCTGTGGCTGTAGCCTTAGTTCCTTTCTATACATTGTGTCTGAGCAACATCCTGGAGAAAGGTGGCCTTCCAAGGTCACAGTTGTCCTGGAGGCAGGTTGTGTTACGGGAGCTGAGCTCTTACAAGAAGTGAATAGCATGGAGTGGTTAACAGGAAACCAGGAACCTGACCTGGTCTGCTGGCAGGTGGCTGCCCCACCTGCTTTAGCGACTTCTCTCAGCCAGGCCCCAGTAAATTTAAGTTCAGCTCATTAGAAATCTCTCGGGGCTAGAGGTGGAGCTTGGCAGTAGAGTGCTTGCCTAGCACGCTTGAGGCACCTCAAAAATAAACCTGGAGGAAGAGGGGCCCACGTAAACTCTTGGCCTCAGAGTCAGGAAACAGGAACCTCTTACGGTTTCGTCCCTCTGCAGCCCACTGGGTAGACTGTAGGACCCACCAGGCTCACTCGGGTCCTGGTATGGAAGAGAGTGGAGGGGCATCAGTATGCACCATGATGGGAGGAACTGGAAAGGGGCAGATGGCCAGCAGCTCTGGGATCTCCTTTCTGGATCTCCTGACAGCTGTTGGGTGGGGGCCCTGAGTTGGTGTCTAACCCCAGGGCTGCTCTTGTGACCCTCACTGCTTTGGGTCCTGGGGAGCCTGAGGAGGTGACATCACACACAGACACCTCAGAGTGGGTCCCTGTGGGTCACTTCAGAGGAGGAGGCGTAGCCACAACCTCCAGTGCCATGTCCCCTGCTCCCGAGGGTAGGGTGGGAGGATACAGGCTTAGAGTAGGAAACCCACTCTGTAAGTTTCAATTACCCTGCATAGCCTGTCTGTGCCATCACCTGATAGGCCAGGGTAACGGTTCCTGCAGAGCCACAGAAGTTTCTGGAAAGGAAATGTGCCTGAAATGCCGGACTGCTCCATGGTTTCCTCAGACTGCCAGCACTTCCCCCACCCAAACCAAGTGTGCCACAGACTTCTGTTCTCTGGAGGGGAAAAACTGGCCTGTGGAGGTTTGGGTAGCATGGGAGAGAGTTGCTCTGGCAGGGGCTGGCTCTGCCTTGTCTTAGCTTCCCTGTGCCCAAGCAGCCTGGTATGAGCCCTCCGCTGTGGCCAGGCCCCCAGGCCCTGCTCTCATTGCTAAATCCTCCTCACCTCTCCAATCCACCTTCAGGAAGCCACCCTGAACGGAACCGGGCTTCTCAGTGGTCCGCCATCCCGTGGGTGCCTGCGAATCCACGGCTTCAGAGGATGACCCTTCGTGCTTCTCGGTGTGGAATGGGGGTGACTCGGTGACTGGGACAAATGACACCAGTCACCGTACACTGCGAAGTGTGTGGGCCATATCCAGGACGCGCTGAGACAGGTGAGGGACGGTCCTTCTCCTGAGGGCAGTGGGGGAGCAGCCAGACGTGAACTCGAAAGGCACACGCGGCAGAGTAGAGAATGGAGGTTTAGGGGGTCCTGAGGACGCGTGTGGGGTGGGACATCATCCGGTTCATCAGGGATGGGCGAGGATGCATCGAGGGGAGTGGGGAAGAGGGTGGAATTGGAATGCTTGCTCGCGAGCTTGGTCCAGCTGAGGTGAATGTTTCCTCTGCCTGTCAGGCCTGGAGCAGGGCTGGGACGGACACTGTAGCCTCAAGGACGTCGGCTGGCCTGTGCCTCCATGGGAGGGGCCCCCAGCACAGAGGGCACCGCTGAGGTCAGGGCAGTGCCCAGGCTGAGGTGCTCAGAAGTGCTTGGCCTGTGCACTTGTCCCCAAGAAGTGTTTGCATTTGTGACCACATTGGTTGGATTTCCCCTCCAGCCCAGTCCCCTCAGCATGGCTGAAGGCTGGGCCAGAGCTCCTGGCTCCTAACCTCCTACCCTGCTCCTCATCCCGCCCTCCATCACCAGCCTGCTTCTCCTGCTCAGGCCTTCCCACTTTCAATCCTCAAAAGACAATCTCGGCTGGGGATTTACTCAGTGGTTCCACCACCTGCCTTGTAATCACAAGGACCTGTGTTCGATCCCTGGTACCAAAAAAAAAAAAAAAAAAAAAAACACCAAAACCCTCCTTGCTGGGACCTGGCTGCCGACCTCCCCGCATCAGTGGCCTGGAGTGGAGCCTGCCCTTTAGGGCTCCCTGAACCCAGGGTTCCTTCCTCCTGGCTCCCTGGCCCTGGCCCTTGGTGAGCAGTGTATCCACAGGCCTCCAGCATCCGGCCCACTCAGTCCCTGGTTCGCTTCAGTTGCACCAGGGGAGGTGAATGCACACTCCAGCTCAGGCTTGGTGGTCTAGGAGCCTGAGACCTGTTTGTGGCCCAGGGCCGTCTAGGTCCACTTTCCCCTGGCCAGTTACAAGGCTCTGGAGTGCGGTTGAAGGCGTCGAGCCGAGCCGTGTGGGCCTGGCCCGGC